AATAAATCACCAGGTCCAATGGTACGAAATGAATTCATCGCTAAATTGATGTTGGTCAGTCGAATAGTTTCTTGTAGAGTACTCATTGGGTACATTAGGTGGAAATACTTCACTAGCGACCGCACTCCAAGTTGAAGATGTGCCGGCCAGAGAAATGTTGTCGTACGAGCCGAAAACTGGCAAGCTGAGTCAACCATGACACTATCGAGCGGTACCCACAAGCGGCCATGAGCCATGACTGTGCCGTCTTCCTCCTATTATTCCTCCGAGTCCGGATCTTCATCGTCTTCCTCGTTGTCCTGGCGGGTAGCAAGGAACTTCGACCGGATACGGTACGCCTGATTAGGCGGCGCGAACACGCGCGAAAGCTGTTGCTTCAGCTGATCCCAAGTGGGAAATCCAGCGTCAACAGACGTGCCGCACGTTAGTGCCCATTCGCGAGCGCGACCTCCAAGCCTGGAGATAGCCAGCACCACGCGCTGATGCTCAGACTGGAGCAGGGCCGATCCCATGGCCATCTCGACCTCACGGGTCCAGAGAAATAGATTCTCTCCATCCTTCCTCGAAGGTTTTTACGCTCACCATGAGCGGTTTCAGTCTCATAGACTCTTCACGCGTCATCGACGCCGCCGCCGTTGCGGCGCTCATCTTCTGTGGTGTAGGGATTTCCAGATTCGACCATACGCCGACCTACTTTAGGTCAAGAATCGGCTCGGTCTGATAACCCAGAGCTTAGGAGCCAAGGATCACGGTAAGTACTCGGCGATCTGTCCGGATATGCTATCCGGATAGCCGCTGAGCTCAACGGCCGCCTGAAGAGTCGGTAGAGATCCGAAACGACTACATTTCACTAGATATTTGTATGAGAAGCATAGGATTAAATAGGAGGAGCCGAAAAGGCTCCCAGAAGATAAGAGAGCAGAATTTTCCTAGTCCAAGACACGTGTACACTTTTCCGGTAAGTCCCTGCATAGGGCTGGATTATGCCTGCCGTCAATACTCGAGAGGCATAGCTTGTAGGGTATTGACTGGTAGCGCCAAGAGATTAGGTCGGTCCGGGTAGGACAAAGTCTCGCTACGCGCGAAAGAAAGTCCCGCATACTCAGCGGGCCGGTACGTCGGATAGCCCGGGTGCCGTAACACTTCTAGCTGAGCAGCCTCTGCGCTCGGTGACCTGTAAAAGCGCTCGCGCGCCGTCGTCCATCCTTTGGTGGAGGGCACAGGGTTGTGAACGAGCTCAGCCGAACCAAACTCGGCGGAGCCTCGGAAGTGATCTGACTTGGTTAGTCGGAACCGGGTGGAAGCGAGCCACTCGTCTGTCCCGGAAGGGCCGGACCGCGAGGGAACCACCCTCTGCGCAGGCCATACAACCGCCGACCTAACTCGGCGATTCGTTGTGGTTTGTGTAAGGAATCCACATCTGACGATATTTGTGTGTTCTACTACACCACAACTGGTGCCGCGACCCGGGAACAGGAGTGTGTGCTTGTTTTTATAGGTGCCAGCTAACCAAGTTAAGAGGAAGAGAAGAGAAAGAGAAGAGTGAAGATGGTCAAGGGATCAGCAACTCCGAGCGACGGAAGCCCAGCGACGGCTGGAGGATCGCCTCTCGTGGGGTCGGACCCGGCGGATCAACGACTCATCGCCATGACGATGGAGGTGGGACGAACCGTCCAGTTCGACGAGGATGGCCAAGGCCAGGAGAGCGAGAACGGAGACGCAAGTGAAGGAGAGTATGAAGAGAAGGCCGAGACCGCTGAGCTCGGAGAAACGAAGACTACCGCCGAGCTACTTGGCGAGGTGGAAGAGTTGACGCTGCAGGTGGGACGCATGGGAGCCCCACGTCCTGTCGAGCGCAACTTATCCGCCGAGCTCGACGAAGGTGCGGACGATGAAGAAGATGAAGAAGAACATGGCGTTGCTCAAGGGGACCGTCCGCCCCTTATTCCGAAAGCGACGAGGAACGCCGATACGCCGAGCGCCAATAAAGTGTTGGCTCGACTCGGCGAGGAGATGAGAACGAGATCGGAATGGATGATGATGTTCGCGCCTGTGGCGATGGCGCAGGCGAAGTGGCCGATGTTGGGTCCCGAACTTACTCAGCCGGTGCGTGCAGCCAACATCAATCAGTTGGTGGAAGAAACTGTGTTGCTGTTGAAGGCGATGGGCTATCGGTGCAACAGCCGACCAAACAGCCTCATTCTGTCCGACTGGAGTCTGACCCGTGGCGGAGCCGAGCTCTGGCAATGGAAGAAGAAAGCTCAGAGTGGCGTTTGGATTGGAGAAGGCCCCTGGCGGAACGAAGAAGGTGTACAGCCGAGTAGCCGAGTTCAAACCACTCGGCGAGGACCCCGAGCAAGATTCCTTTGCCGAAAACCCCGGAGACGAAGAGACGTGAAGTGTTCCGCGCTACGCAAGGGACTCCGTACTTCGAAGACTCTCACATGCTGACTCCATTAAAGCTAAACCCGACTCAGCGAGCGCCGAGTCGTGGGCAGCGAAATGTAGGTCGTTATCGTGAATTGTATGACGCTGCAGATGAGGCTGAGGCTTACGAGGAGGATGAAGAAGACGGCGACGCCTTCGACGTGAGAGGTAACCGTGAAGAAACCGTGAAGGACTACATTCGAAACTTGAGCTTTGACGCGGCTGAAGAGGACTCGACGCAGTACCTAGAAGTCCGAACCCACGCCTCGCTCGACAAAATCGCCGAGTTCGAAGGAAAGCGCTACCGCTCTGACGCGTCGCTCCAGTGGCTCAAGCGGTTCATCTACGAGATGAAGAGCACCAGGATGCCCCAAAGTGCATGGTGCGAGCCTTTCTCGCTATGCTTGGGACGCGCGGCGAAGAGTTGGTACAGGCAGCTGCCGAAGAAGACTCAGCGACGTTGGAAACTACTCAGCGAGGCGTTCCTGGATTATTACTGCTCACAGTTCGACCAATCCGCCCGCACTCGTTACTACTCGGCGAGACGTAAAGTCAACGAACCGATCTGCGACTTCCTGATCCGACTCAACGGGTACGCTCGGACAGCCAAGATCCAGTACGAGAGGGGTGGCGCCGACGCAGCTGACCATGTCGAACACTTCTTGCTGCATTGTGGTGATGACGATGTGATGGATTTAATGTACCCCTTGCAGTTGGAAGACATGAA